AGAGTGTCCCATAAGTTTCAGTATGTTGTATCTTCTTTCTCATTGAATTCCAGGAAGTCTTCGATTTCTTTTTTATTTCTTCCTTTACCCAGGGATGGTGCAATTGTGCATTGTTCAATTTGCATGAGTTTGTAGGGTTTCTGCGATTTGTGTTATTGTTGAATTCTAATTTTAATGCATGGTGGTCTGATTATATTATTCCATTTTTTTGTATCTGTGCTATGTTTCCTATTATGTGGTCAATTTTAGAGAAGGTTCCATGTGGTGCCGAGAAGTTATATTCCTTTGTGTTTGGGTGGAATGTTCTATAGATGTCTGTTAAACCCAGTTGGGTCATAACTTCTATTAGTTCTTTTGTTTCTTTGTTAAGTTTCTGTCTGGAGGTCCTCTCTAGCGGTGAGAGTGGAGTGTTCAAGTCTCCTACTACTAGTGAGTGAGATTTTATGTTGGATTTGAGCTTTAGTAATGTTTCTTTCACAAATGTCGTTGGCCTTTGTATTCCGTGCATAGATGTTCGATATTGAGACTTCATCTTGATGGACTTTTCCTTTGATTAATATGAAATGTCCTTCTTCATCTCTTTTGATTGATTTTAATTTGAAGTCTAGTTTGTTAGATATAAGGATTGCTACACCCGCTTGTTTCTTGGGTCCGTTTGATTGGAAAATCTTTTCCCAACCCTTTACTCTGAGGTAACGTCTGTCTTTGATGTTGAGGGGTGTTTCTTGTATACAGCAGAAGGATGGGTTCTGTCTTTTTATAGGCAAGGATTCATTCTGCTAGTCTGTGTCTTTTTATAGACAAGTTGAGATTGTTGACATTGAGGGATATTAATGACCAGTGATTGATGATTCTTGTTTGTGCTTGATTTATTGGTAGTGGAGTTATTGTGTGTAGGTTCTGCTCCACTTTTCTTTTGGTGTTTGGTAAAGTGGGATTATCTATTGCCTGTGTCTTTCTGAGTGTAGTTATCTTTGTTGGGTCTAGGTTTTCCTTCTAGCACTTTCTGTAGAGCTGGATTCGTGGATATGTATTGTTTAAATCTGGTTTTGTCATGGAATATTCTGTTTTCTCCATCTATGGCAATTGAAAGCTTTGCTGGATATAGTAGTCTGGACTGGCATCCTTGTTCCCTTAGTGTTTGTAGGACATCTGTCCAGGATCTTCTGGCTTTCATCGTTTCCATTGAGAAGTCAGGTGTTATTTAGATAGGTCTGCCTTTATATGTTATTTGGCCTTTTTCTCTAGCTGCTCTTAATATTTTCTTTTTATTCTGTAGGTTTGATGCTTTGATTATTATGTGGCGAGGTGACTTGTTTTTCTGATCTAGCCTATTTGATGTTCTGTAAGATTCTTGCATTTTCATAGGCATATCCTTCTTTAGGTTAGGTAAGTTTTCTTCTATGATTTTGTTGAATATGTTTTCTGTACCTTTGAGCTGTATTTCTTCACCTTCTTCTATACCTATTATTCTCAGTTTTGGCTTCTTCATGGTGTCCCATATTTCCTGAATATTTTGTGTTAGGGATTTGTTGGTTTTGAGACTTTCTTTGGTTGATGACTGTATATCCTCTAATGAGTCTTCAATACCTGAGATTCTCTCTTCTATCTCTTGTATTCTATTGGTGATACTTGCATCTGTAGTTCCTGATCGTTTACCCGTCTTTTCTATTTCCAGCATCCCCTCATTCTGTGTTTTCTTTATTTTTTCTACTTCAGCTTTCAATCCTTCAACTGTTTGAGTTGTTTCTTTGTTTGGTTGTTTTTTCTTGGTACTCTTTAGATTCTTTAGTGATGTGTTATTTCTTGAATTTTTTGGTTTGCATTTTCCCCCATTTCATGTTTTATTTTTTTTTCTTCTGTTTCTTTAAGGGATTTGCTTGTTTCCTCTTTGAGAGTCTCTATCATCTTCATCAAATAATTTTTAAGATCTGTCTCCTCTGCTTTGTCTACATTTGTCTGCTTTGTATACATTTCCCATTCTCTGTGTCCTAGCTCCAGACCACCCCAGTTTTATTGTTTTCATTGGTTTGTCTAGGTGGTACTTGTATAAGGGTGAATCTTAATGTGGTTTTTTTTCACAGCTTCAACATCTCTCCCCATGCAGTTTCAAGCATGCTTACCAAGCATTATTTTCTGGTTGTAATTTTTGCGTATTGTAATGGGTAGGAAATGACATCTCTCCTACTTTTGACTTACTTTTCCCTGCATGATTCCTCATGTTCATCACCTTTTATATCCTTGGTCCCATGCATATGCTTTCTTTCTTCTGCTTCGTTGCGTATGGTCTGGGATGCATTTAAATGCCTATTTTTCTTAGTCTTACCTCTTGCTCCTCTGTAGGCCTTAGTTGTTTCTCTCATATTCTTGTGTAATTTCTCGCATTCAGAGCTGTGCTGTCACAGAATAGAATCAGAGCACCCCTAAGGTCAGGGCTATGAACTGAATAGGCCTTGTTTTTCTGATGTATGCAGTGACCTCACAGAGTTGTATTGCTGGGCATAAGGGGACAAGACTAACTAATGTCAACATAAAACTTCTCACCATTTTGAAGACAGATTTTTGTTATTGTTGTTGTTTTGGTTTTGTGTTAGTTTGGTTTTTTGTAGATCTGTGTCTGATTTTCAGAGCTCTCGCAGTGTTTTTTTTTTCACCAATTGCTAGTAGCTTTGTAATGTATTCATAAAGGGATGAAGGCCCAGTGCTTTCTAATAGCCCTTTGATGACTTTTTTCTAAGTTTAGTACTTTTTCATAAGTGTCTGAATTGCCTACATTGTTGATGTGGATAAGAAATATTCACTAATACAACTCAAATGATATCGATTCATTATTTGTCTAATATTTTATAATATATACCAATTTTAAATTTTCCTATCAAGATATATGAATTTTTATACATTCCAATTAATGTATCTGCAATAGTTTCCCATGTCTGTCCTTTGACTATTGCTTTTATGACTTTTAATTAAGTCTTAATTTTAATGTATAATTATAATTTTATTTTATAAACTTTATTTCTGCTTTTAAGACATTCCCTGATTAAAGCTTGTGAAAGTTTATATTCTAAATTTCTTTTTAAATATCAGTACTGGCTAGTTACCAAAAAAATGTAGTTTGATAGTATCCTTTAGATTTAAATTATATTTCAATAATTTCCTTATTTCCACTTAACAGAACAAAATGTTTTGGTATGTACAGTACTAAGAAAAAGTGCTACAGACAAATATTCCATGGTATTGTGCATTTTTGATCAAATTAGACTTCTAAACCAATATTCCATGGTATTGTGCATTTTTGATCAAATTAGACTTCTAAACCTTTAGAAGATCTTTGATTTCATCTGAACCCAGATATTTTCATGTTACTCTTAGTGCTGTTTGTAACAATCAGTATGAAATATGTTGCAAATACTGCATGTAGATTTCTCTTCTGTTTTCATAATTGTTTAAGAAGTTTTGTTTTAGTGTATTTGTTTAACATGTTCATATTAGTTTTTCAAGATATGTTAATATCTGTTTGAGAGAAAGAGTGCTTTTGATGCCATATTGCATTTTTCTTTGTAAGTTTAATATATACTTTTTAAGTGTCTAAGGAGCCTCAGTATTACTAAACAAAAGAATTGTAACTTTGTATAACCAACATTTTCCACATTAGAAATGTGGTTCCACCAATAAATTGCTTGGTGTAACTTGAAGAACTCTAGAATATAGTATGGAAAATTCTTCTTCTGAATAAGTAGTTAAAATATTTCTATGTTTTTGGAAAATACATCTCAAACATAAATGACACAAACTAAAATAGAGTTTGAGGCAGATTTAAGTGTAACACATAGTTCTGAATCACGGTGCTGAAAGTTAGATGGCCCATAATAACCATTCTTTAACACAATCTACAATCATTTACCAGCTTGCAGCAGGAAAAAGATATGGTTAATCAGAGACCTCGGTTTACTTAGTAGGTTTGGTGGATCATGTGACACACTTGCCCCAACTTGAAATGGATACAGTCAATACAGGCAGCTGTCCATAGTACAGTATTTGGCCCAGAGCTAGCATTTGTTGAGTGCCTACTTTTTCATATCATACTTCTGATTTTCATTTCACATTAATATTGTGGCATTGGCTAGGTCTGTTTTTCTTTTGCTAACAAGGAAAGAGAAGGCTAGAGACTTGGCTCCTTCATCTGTGGTATTTGAGCATGGCTTCTGCTGCACCGTTTTACCTCCTGCCATGCAGTGACAACTGCAGCAGTATCTGTGATAGCACGGAATGATCAAACCAAGCTAAGTTAAGAATTGCCCCCAAACCGCACATTTATCAAGTCATCCAGATAGAACTTGAAATAAGAAGATCAGGAATAAGCTGCAGTCCTCTTGCAGCTCTTGGCTCTTTGTACACATAGTTGTTATGGACTATCTTGTGAGTAGTTACTTTTATCTTAGGGCTCTGCTGTAACTTAAAAATGATCATGCATTCAGCCTTCAATCTCAATAGTATATGACCACAAAATTATTTTAAGCATAGTATTAATTAAGTCAGACTCAAAGTACTAAACATTTTACATGTATGAGGAGTATTAATTAGTCATATTTAGAGAATTAGGAACCATGATGGTTGCTAGCAACTGGAAAAAATGATAGAGAGTTGCTCAGTTGGCATAGTCATGCAGTTTTACAATATGAAAATGTTCTGGAGATTGGTGCACATACAATTATACTTAACACTACCAAAGGGAATGCTTAAAATGGATAAGGTGGTAAATTCTGTACTATATATTTTACCTCAATTAAAAATAAAATTAAAAAATTATCATTAGTCAGACATGATGGTATATGTCTGTAATCCCAATACTCCAGGGAGACTGTGAGTTCAAGGCTGAACTTGACTGTATGACTGACTTAAAACAACAACAACAAAGCTTGTTTGACAACTTGTCATGTTAAGTTAACTTATGTGGCACTATGAGGAATGTTGCTCATTAACTTATGGTTTATTCACAGTGATCTGCAGCCCTGGATCCTACAATCCACGGGATGGAACTCATTGCCTCCAATGCAACAGCAGCCTGGTGTATGGAGCGAAGGCATGCTTATAGGCCACTGCCTTGTGTGACCCAATAGTTTATTAAACATGAAAGTCTATTTTTGAAATGCTAAATTATAACTTACTATTATGCCAAAATTAAATAATCAGAGTTTACAAAGATATGGTGTCCTCATTCAATCAAGTATTGTATGTATCATCTTTCTTGGTTAATGCTGGAGCTGCATTTGATACCAGGTAACTCCTGTGTCACTGCCTTTTAAAAATTGTTTCAAATGTTTTGTATTGGGTGACATTAAAGATTTTTTTCAGGAATTTAAAAACTGTCCCATTTTCTCTTTACTATGTATCGCCTAGATTCAGGCCATCATATTCTATTATAAGAGCTTTAATTTAACCTTACAGAATTTTATCTATTTGAGGTTGGCCTTTCACAGTTCAGAGCCAGTTTCAAAAGTATGTCATTGTTCTTGTCAGCACATGACCTGGCCCTAGGGACACTGTGGATTCTAGTATATATAGGTCAGTGTGTTGTCTTAAACTATCAGTTACAGACTCTCAAGCCAGACATGGTAGCACAGGACTGTAATCATAGTATTTGAGAGGCAGAGGTGGGAAGATCAGGAGTTCAAAGCCAGGAACAGCCTGGGCTACATGATCCTGTCTCAAAAAGTGTCTTTTATTACCTCCTTGACATTTTAGATTGGAGTAATCATTGAATTTTCTCAATAGACTGAAGCTTTTTGTCTCCATTACAGCACTTTCAGGACGAAGAGTTAACAATCATCACATATTTTGTTTGCTACACCGTTAAAATGAATACTTTGTTCCAGAAGTCACTGCTGCTACCACTAGTACCTTGGTTTTCATTGGGGTACCACACTTAAGTACAGGGAGTTGCCAGTTTGTAATGATTCAAACAGAAGGAAATTTACAAGCAACTTTAGAGCTCTTTTCTGAAGTCCTTAGTGATCATTTGGTTTTCATTCCCTGAGTCTTCCCTGTGAGACGTTGCCTGCTTTGCTCTTAATGTTTCCTGTCTTAAAACACAAGAACTCGAGGATGGAAAGAGTAAACAGTTGGATCTCAGCACCTTTGAGTAAAAGGTCAGCTAACAAGGAGCTGTGCTATTGGCTTGTAGAGACTAAGCTAGCTAGAAAATACCCTATCTCTTGGTTTTCATCATCATAAAGTGATTGCTTCTTTATATCTCTTAGAGATTTTTTCAGATGCCTTTCCTATGGCAGGTAATATACTGAGCATTACATTATTTGAGTGAAATAATTGTTTTTCTCTATGTAATTAGCACATACATTGTATAACTTCTAAGACTTAAGTCTCCTTCACTAAAACTTCCAGAAATCATCCCAGTTTCCCAAGTCTACATTAGGATTGATTGAATATGTTCTTTGAGTTGTTGGTCTGGAGCGCAGAGGGAGAGCTGTAGTGGTGGTGGTAAGTCTGGAGAGCAGTGCCATCCCAGGGCACAGATGGTCTGGGGTAGGAGTAGCCACAATGCAAGGCTGATGAGTTAAGTTCCTTGTTCATACAGGTAGACTTTACAACAAAGCCTTACCAATGTTAGGTCAGAACAAGGGAGAATTAGGAGGGTTGGTCAAGAGAGCTGTCTTTAGCAAGAGAAGCAGGGGCACACTAGGAAGAGAAAGGGAGACATGAATGACTACTTTCCTGTTCCACATGGTGAAATGAACCCTTTATGTTGTAGGACATCACAGTTGTTTTAATCCATTGTTAGGGTTTTTTTTTCTCTGTTTTGTTTTTTCATACAAATTAAAGACCTTTGAAGGGAAATACATCAGAAACTATGAGAAGAGTTACTTCTGTTATAATGCCAGAGAAGATGTCAGTATTGACTGTTGTTTAAAATGACGGCAATATGTGCTAAAAGCTGTGGTATGTTTCTAAAGGGTATTGTCATGACAGTTTCAGATAGTTCTGTTTACATTAAGATAATTTCTTCCTGTATAAAACCTTCCAATTATATGATCAGATGATTTTACCAACACCTGAAGTTTTTACCATCATTTAAGGGGAATAATTTTCCATTTTGTATTCATTATATTTACATTAAATATGTAATATGTTTATTTGGCAGTGTGGAAATAAAGATCCTTAAGTTTTGTTCAGTAATCTCAGTTTCTGAAGATGTTAACAAGTAAATCAGAGATAGGTGAAATAGTATGTCCAGTGGTCATAATGGCCACAGCTTATATAGTATTAAATGCGCACAAATGCCCTATAAGAAAGAGTAATGAACTATTCTCCTTCCACATGTCAGACTGTCACTGAGCCATTAAATTGACTCTCATATTTTCAAATTGAGTGAATTAATTTAGATTAACTATATATTTAACTGTGTTGATTTATATTATTTGTATTTTGAGCTTGAAAAGAAATGCACTAAAATGTTTATCTCATGATTGTCTCATGTAATAGGATTATGCGTGAGTTTTTATGTCTTCTGTTTCCCAAAATTTCTTCACTGATATGAATTACCTTCATGATGTTAGAAACAATAAACTTACTTTGAAAAACTGCAGGAGTAACTGTGAGAGATGTTGTTATTCCTCTTTCCAGCACTGCTTCCTTTCAGTCTCTTCCCAGCAGGGCAGCCACCAGGCTTGCCTACACAGAGCACGATCTTTCTAGAAGCTGGAAACACACTTTCCTAGATACCATGAGGTTAAGCAGCTATAAGAACTGGAAGAACCTGATGCTGAGTACAGAGTAGAGATATCACAAGAGCTGGGGCTCCAAGGATGTCAGTTATTGAATGATTGCGTCTGCTAATTGTGAACATAGGAAAGCCGCTCTATACAGATAAGTTAGGTTTTCTGTTACAGATAAATAATCCTCATTGATAAAGCACTCACTATAAGGGTGTTGTAAGAAGAACACCAGAAGAGGAAGTTAACAAAGAATTTTAGAACTTAGCTATCAGTAATGTTAGCTTATTGGTAAATTTTCCATATGCAAGCTCATGGAACATTTCTCTTAATATCATGTGTTTTCCCAAGCTTTTTGATTTACCGAATTCATGCAGAAAATATTTCACTTATTTCAGAAAAAAATATGAAATGTTTAACCATTCCAGTTGTGGGGTATTTCTGTTGCTTCTAGATCTTTAGATGTTATGTGTCACTTTTTAACTTCTTTCTGAGCCTTCTGTAGAATTTTTAATCTTCTTTGAATCAAATATTCAGAATTGGTAGGCTTAGGTATTTCTAATCGTCTGAACAATTCCCCAAATTATAGTGACATACACAAGGAGCAAATCTTTCACTGCATTCTCTCTTTTAAGAATGTTTAATTTGATAGATGAAAACACTTCCCCAGGTTTTCATTTCTGAGTATTTGTGAAGTTGGGATCACCCCATGATAATGCTGCTACAGTGGCTGACTGTATTGTGTACTGAGTGCTTATTTAATTTGTCTATCTCTTTTAATCACAATTCTGATTTCATAGGATCTGAAAAGAGGAAAATAATTTAGTAACATGCAGAGATTCTTAGATAGCCGGTAAGTAATAAGGACAAGTGTCAGCTCAGACTTAACACTGGTGTACATTATCCTGAGTCCGACTTCTCTCTCTTAGATGCTGTATCCTGATCTCCATCAACTGAAGGGCCTCTCTGCTCCTCCGTCTCCAGCATAGGTTATGTCCTCCCAGTTGCTGGTATGTTGGGTCTCCAGGTACTTGGTTTGCCTTCTGTCCAATAAGAGAATAAACTGAATACTCTCTAAGATTTTTACATTATTTTGAGTAACCAGCTGGCACTGTTAAGGAAGCTGGGAATTAATATATCCAGTTGATTCCATCAATGTATATGATACATATGCTTCACCAAAGTAAAATGAATGAGCAGGCAATTGAAATGCTGTAGTAACTCTTAACTAGTTTCTCTCTGAACAAGACTTGACACATTGGTGCTTGTTGATGATGGGGTAGATATAGTGATATTTATGATTTATTAAAGTTTGCCTGAGGGTTCAGAATGCAAAGATAGCCACAAGCCATAGAGGTCAGACAGGTGAGATACACAGCTTTAACTCCAGCAATCATACTAGCTAGCCATAGAGCCAGGCAGTGGTGGCACACACCTTTAATCCCAGAACTCAAGAGACAAGCAGATGGATCTCTGTTAGTTCAAGTCCACACTGAGCTCCATGAAATTGATCCAGACTTAAAGAGAAACAGCTCACACAAAGGTGATGTCAGCACTTGGGAACACACCTTTAATCCCAGCACTAGATGTAAAAGGAAGGAGCAAAGGGTCTCTGGAGGTTTAGTTTCCAGACAGGGAGAGCTATTGTCTCTGAGGATTCATGGAACTAGCTGGATCACACTCTCAGTCTGAGGTAGAGGCAAGAGCTAGTAGCTGGCTGCTTTGCTTACCTGACCCTCAGCTCGAACCCCAATATCTATCCCTGCATTTGTATTTTTTCGTGTTAAATATTGATACCCAACCTTAAGATATGAATCCACAAAAAAGTCACTTTGAGGCCATCAGTTAACGCACAGGCCTGCTCTGCAAGCAGGACTCCTACCTGAGTTCCTGTGCAGCTGGCTAGGTTTCTTTTGTTTTTTTTTCCCCCAAGTCTTTGAGTGAGTGTGGGATTTTTCAGTTGTAGCTTTTCTAAACAGTCTTAATCTACCACCAAAACTCATGAAGCTTTGCCTTCAGACTGTACCTATCACATGTGTTTCTTCTTAATAATCCTGAGTGTGTTTTTCAGACAGCCAGCTCATTCTCTCTCTCTCTCTCTCTCTCTCTCTCTCTCTCTCTCTCTCTCTCTCTCTGTGTGCCTCTGTCTCTTTGTCTGTCTGTCTCTCTATCTCTTTCTCTCTCTGTGTCTCTCTGTGTGCCTCTGTCTCTCTCTCCATCTCTCTGTCTCCCCATCTCTGCATCTCTCTCCCTATGTATTCCCCAACCATGGGTTTCAGGCTTTTCCTAGAGCCCCTCTCCTTGGGCTGCTACTCTCAGCTTATAGCCACAAGCTAGTTCTTGGATCAGATGTGCTATGCCCCACAGTTCACTGAGATTGTTGCCAGATTTGGTAAGTCTATTGGGAATTCTTAAAGAAGGGAATTAGTTTAAAAGGAGAGTATTTTCCCCACATTACAAATGGGAAAAATATTACAATGGAGAGAGTTGGGTCTCTGTATGATTATGCAATGCATGATTTAAAAATGGAACAATTAAATGAAGGGATATTCAGCTTAATCAAGATTGGCGATTGGCATACTGTTAATTATAATTTTGATAATTTTAGTTTAGCTCTTAAAAAGTTGGTTGATAAGAGTGCCAAGATGCAGGCCCTAGAAAAACTTATTAAAAGAGATCATAGAGAGATTCATACCCAGACAGAGGAATTTAATGGGCAAACAAATTCAGCATTGCATTTTAAGGTTAAAAGGAAATCTAAGGTCTTAAGAAAACCAACCTTATTGGAAGTGCCAAATGATAAAGGTTCTGTAAGAACTACTTGGTAACCTGTGACAATATTAGATTTAGGGAAATTGAAGGAAGAAGTAGTCTCATATGGCATCCATTCGCCATTTGTGAAGCAGGTGTTAAACTCATGGTCAGTTTGTAATAGAGTTATCCCTACAGACTAAATAGTCTGATTAAAGCTGTTTTAGAGCATGATCCACAATTACAGTTGACTTCCTGGTTCAGAGAAGAGGCTAAGACTATTGAACAATGGGCTAAAGCAAAAGTTATGGATATCTCCCAAGATCAAATTATTGGACAAGGAGATTATGCTACTTTAGAAAGGCATTGTCTGTATGATGACCATGTCTTAGGTTTATGCTATGCAGCAGATTTGAAGGGAAAGAATTGGAGAAGTAGCAAAGAAAATTGAGTCATTTACTAACGTTATACAGGACACAAAGGAAGCCTTCATGGATTTCTTACAAGGATTGACCTCAGCAGTAAATGATACCAGATTCAGAAGCTTGGGAATTAGTATTTGAAACTATGACTTTTGAAAATGCTAATACTAATACAAAAGAATAATTAGTCCTTTAAAAGCAATGTCAGCACCTTTGGAGGATGGATCTGAGATACAATTAACATCATGACTATGATGATGATGCAGGGGAAAGGAGAGGTGATTTCAAGAGGTTTGAAGAAAACCTAAAATGTCAAGTGTTTTAATTGTGGCAAACAAGGTCACTTTAAAAGGAATTGTAAACAGGACATTTCTAGAAGCAATACTTTCTTTTTTTCAGGGTGTAGTTTCTTTTTTTTATTTAAATTAGAAACAAGCTTGCTTCACATGTCAATCCCAGCTCCCTCTCCCTCCCCTCCTCCCTCACCCCCCAGTAACTTCCCCAGCCCCCCAACTCCCCACCTAATCCCCATTCCTCTCCCCAGGGAGGGTGAGGTCCTCCATTGGGGGGGGTCTCCAGAATCTATCATTTCATCCAGAGCAGGGCCTAGGCCCTCCCCCATGTCTCCAGGCTGAGAGAGCATCCCTCAATGTGGGATGGGCTCCCAAAGTCCATTTGTATGCCAGGGATAAATACTGATCTACTTACTACCCAAGGCCCCATAGATTGCCAAAGACTCCTCGCTGACACCTTCGACAAAATACAACACCCCTTCATGATAAAGGACTTGGAGAGATCAGGGATAACAGGAACATAACTAAACATAACAAGGACGTCTGTTAATAGCCAGAACCTGGAAGCAACCTAGATGCCCCTCAACTAGATAGAGAAAATGTGGTACATTTACACAATGGACCACTACTTACCTGAAAACAAAACAAACCAATGGAATCTTGAAATTTGCAAGCAAATAGATGGCACTAGAAGAAACCATCCTGAGTGAGGTAACCCAGTCACAAAAAGACAAATATGGTATGTACTCTCTCATATATGGATTTCAGACATGGATCAGGGGTGTGCCAGTCTACAATCCCACTGCCAGAGAGTCTGGGAAACAGGGAGGTCCCTAAGAGAAATAGCATGGTACACCAGAGTCAGGGAATGGGACAGGATCTCCAGAGAAGATTGGGAGCATGGGGGGAGAGGCGAGGGAGCTGGGGAAAAAGAATGGGGGAGAAGAGGAGGGGAGAGGAGGACATGGGGAAGCAGGAAGGTTGAGTGGAGTTAAGAATAGAAGAGAGTAGGATGAAAGATACCATAATAGAGGGAGTCCTTATAGGCTTGAGGAGAGATCTGGCACTAGTGAGATTTCCAGGGATCTACAAGGATGACAGCAACTGGCAAACTAAATAGTGGAGAGACTACTTTAAATGTCCCCCCCCCTGAAAATGAGTTTGATGACTACCTTATATGCCATCCTAGAGCCTTCATCCAGTGACTGATGGAAGCAGAGGCATACATCAGAGCTAAACACTGAACTGAACTCCTGGAATCCAGTTGCAGAGAGGGAGGAGTGATGAGCAAAGGGGTCAAGACCAGGCTGGTGAAACCCAAAGAAACATCTGACCTGAACAAGGGGGAGCTCTTGGAGTCAGACTGATGGCTGAGAGACCAGCATGGGACTTATCTAGACTCCCTCT